ACCACACACACACCACACCACACACACCACACACACACACACACTCACACACACACACACACCACACACACACACACACACACACACACACGGAAAGGCTAAAATGCCCTGCCAAAATCCTGGGAAAACAAGCTAACTGCTAACTACAGACCAGTCCTTTAACAGAAAGCTTAGCAAGATGAGAGGTACGAATTGCTGGATTTCTACAACAGAGTTAACAATTCTTTTTCTCCCAAATATCATGGGGGCAGTTAAAGGAAGCATAGGAAAACGTATCAGAAAGCCATGTTTGAAAGTATTACATTTTTTTAAAATAGATGTGCCTTTGAAAACCTAGTAAACTTACAGTTTCTGAAGTAGAAAATAGTGAAATTTATTTATAGGGGGGATAAAATCTAGCCCATCAAAAGAGAAAAAAAGGAAAGAAAGTGATGGAGAAAGAGAGGAGGGGAAGGAAGGGAAAAGAGGGAAGGAAATAAGGGAGGGAGGGAGAGAAGGAAGGAAGAAAGGAAGGAAGGAAGAGAGAGAGGGAGGGAGGGAAGGAAAGAGGGAGGGAGGGAGGGAGGGAAGGACAGAAGGGAGGAGAGAAGGAAGGAGCGAAGAGAGGAAGGAAGGAAGGAAGAAAAGAAGGAGGGAGGGAGGGAGGAAGGAAGGAAGGAAGGAAGGAGGAGGGAGGGAGGGAGGAAGGAAGCGGAAGGAAGGAAGGAAGGAAGGAAAGAAGGAAGAGAGGGAGGGAGGGAGGAATAGGAGGAGGGACAGAGAGAGGGAGAGATCAAGGAAAAAGAATTTTTGGGGGGAGGGCCGGTCGTGGGGCCTGAACTCTGGGCCTGGGCGCTGTCCCTCAGCTCTTCAGCTCAAGGCTAGCACTCTACCACTTGAGCCACAGCGCCACGTCCAGCTTTTTGCTTATGTGGTGCTGAGGAATCGAACCCAGGGCCTCATGCATGCAAGGCAAGCACTCTACCATTGAGCCACTTTCCCAGTCCCAGGAAAAAGAATATTTTTAAAGGGTAAGCTTAAAAGCAGGATACTGGTTAGACTTGTGGTACACTTTTCAAAGGGAGGAGATGCCTGCTCCGCCGACCCCCTCAAACTCAACAAGGCAGCCAGCAACATCCCTGTAACTTTAAAGACTTTGCGTCACGCTTGCAATTACATCGGCCTGTTTTAGGAAAAACCTGATATTTGTAAGCCAGAAGGAAAACGCCATGAAGAGCAGTCAGTACTCCTACCACTTCAAATGGTAAGCATGGAGGCAGTGTGGCCCAGGCTACGTGGAGCTCACTGACCACTGGAAGATCTGTAAGAAATTCTCAGATCTTTCTAGACGTAGTGTCTGTGGTCTGTGTAATTTTATGAAGGAGAATGGGCAGTCCAAACGGCAAGCGCCACGGGGGCTGGGAGAGAGGGCAGGTGTACGTGAAGCACCTGTGCAGCAGAAACCTGGCCGGAGTAGGCAGCTTGGCTAAAAGGACAATTAGACAAGAGAAAAATATTCACCTCTATTTGCTAACACGGTTACTAATAATACGCGAGAGAAAGCTAAGCTACTCCTTGACAGAAGTAGACACTGAATGCCAAATATACTGACGCCATCTAGAGACTAGAGAATGAGATGGTTTTCTGTTAGGTAAATGGGACACTCTCCCTGACCAGAAAGGTCTAGAAACTTCTCAGGCTACCATTTTGTTTACATCGCTGTGGTCTACAGACCTGTATCTTCTAAGTTAGGGTGTAATAAAAACCAATTCGTTTGACCATCTGTTTGTTGTGCCTTATTTTTTAATTGTCCCTACTCTTAAATATAGAGTTCAAGTAAAACTCCTAGGCTCAATTTTTATCTTTAATATAAAGTAGTCTGCACTTGAAGTTTAAACCACTTGCACTCATTTTAAGAGTTAGAAATGAGATTTTTTTTAACATAACAAGAACTAGTTCTGACAACCAGCCAGGAGTTCAGTGTCTTACAAACATCACATGATCAATAATTGACCAAAAATAACTAGCTATAATGTCTATGTGCTAATTACTGTGAGGAATAGCAATAGAGAGATGTATGTATAAATTACATGAAAAAGGGAAATTTTTACTAAAAAATGTTCATCCTAACAGATTATATCTGAGTCTAGTTAGGATCTTTTAAGGCCTCTATGTTCCAATTTAAGAAAGTCTAATTGACTTAGAACTTGTAGATTGTACTTAATATTTCAAATTAATGTGAGGAATTCTTCCTTAAAATGTTTTTCTTTTTTAAAACTTATTATCTTTAGGTAGTTGTGCAGAGGACTTGCCACTTAACAAAGCAGTTTATGAGTTTATCCCTTTTTTTTTTTTGTCAGTTGTGGGTCTTGAACTCTGGGCCTGGGCGCTGTCCCTCAGCTCTTCAGCTCAAGGCGAGCGCTCTACCACATGAACCACAGCACGCCACTCCCTGTTATCTGAGTGGTTTATTGGAGACAAGAGTCTTACAGACTTTCCTGCCTGGACTGGCAGGATCTCAGTCTCCTGAGTAGCTAGGGTTAGAGGCGTGAGCCGCCACCGGCCATATGAGTTTATCTTAAACCAGGTCACCCTTTCCCACGTTCCCACCCACCCAACACTTTTTAAGGTGCATCTATTCTCCTATTGACGGGAATGCACGTGAGCTTTGGGTCATATAACAGTAGTGAGCACCTACAGCACATGTGACCTTGTGTGCTGCATAATAAAGGCAATGTAGAGCTGAGGACAGTGACTGACCAGGCTATGGAGGACAGACGCTGTGCTGTCCAGAGGTGGCAGAGCGTAGTAGAAATTCACAGTGTGTGTGCGAGACAAACCAGCGAGAGGCATGCACGTGGCATCAAGTGTTCCCCATGCTTACTTTGCAAAGCCAATGAAGTCTTCGTGGTTGGTGTTGATGTAGGAGACTTGAATGTCAATCAACAGCAGCACCTAGAAATCAAACAAACAGAAACACTGCTGTGACAATGCATCTTAAAATTTCCCAGACGTTCATTTCAGTACTTGCCTACGAATTACCAGTATTTAATTTCTAGAGTGGTCTCCTGACGAGAACACAGTCACATAACTTCTGTTCATTGGTCATACGAGGACTGTGCTAACAGAGCCTGGAATGCCGCTAGCCCCTAAAACGTAGCCATGACGTCCCGACGAAGGCCACGCATGCACCTGCTGTGTGAGCTCTTGTTCTCCTCTCCTTTCTCCTTCTCTCTTTTTTTTGGGGGGGGGGTCCAGTCGTGGGGCCTGAACTCTGGGCCTGGGCGCTGTCCCTCAGTTCTTCAGCTCAAGGCTAGCACTCTACCGCTTGAGCCACAGCACCACTTCCAGCTTTTTTTTTGCTTATGTGGTGCTGAGGAATTGAACCCAGGGCCTCATGCATGCAAGGCAAGCGCTCTACCACTGAGCCACCTTCCCAGCCCCCCTTTTTCCTTCTCTTTAAGCTCCTCATCAACCAACTCAGAAACGCTGTCTGTGAATAAATGTGGAGCCTCCTTCACGTCAGCAGCCTCATTATCAAAACAAAACAGTAACCACGCTGGGCAGGTGGCGCAAACCAAAGGCAGTAGATTGAGAGTTTGAGATCAGCCTAGACACACAGCAAGCGCCAGACTAGCCTTGGCAAGGAAGGCCTGACTTTATTTAACAGGAAAACAGCAGCTACGTCTCCTCCTTCCCATCAGTGTTAGCACTCACGGTCCTCCGCCACCTTCCGCTGGAATCCTTAGCAGTACTCCGAGCAGACAGGTGATGGTTACCTTTACATGTCTGGTATAGAGACCATCACTGTGTCCCAGGCCCCACACCAGGGCCTGCGGGAACAACAGGGGACCGCAACAACCCAGAAACTGTAAGAAAGGGTTTCTTTTCAGAGATCTTCAAAACTTAGCTCCTCTTCCTGCTTTTACTCTGATATCTCACTTTTCCTAGCATGCTAGGACTCGTTGACAGGGAAAAACATAGAAGAATGGTGTCTAAACGCCTCCAGGACGCCACCCTCTGGCTCTGTTCAGGGAGCTTGCAACGACGATGATGAGCACTTTGGGTTCTTGGTATCCACAGGTTTGTGGTGCGAAGGAGAGCGCTCTGTACAAACACTGTGGACACTCCAGACGGCTCAGGCTGGGGCTGCGCCGCACACACTCCATTCCCGATTCTCGTAAGGCTTTCCCACGTTCACTCAACACATACCACCTTCTCAACAAACCTCAAGTCTTGCTTTATCCCTTGAACACACTTTGTGCCTATGTTTTGCTTAGGAAAATTATCTTCACTTTTGCCCTATTTTTTGTAAAGCACATTTTCACAAAATTACAGGCAGAGAAACACCCCGGGAGCCCAGGATGACTGACACATGGCCGTGGAGCCCAGGATGACTGACACCCGACCGCGAGCACCTGGCCGCCCACTCTGCTGAGCTGCCACGCCTGAGCAGCCGCACAACCCCCACCGCTGGAAGTTCTGGGCTTGTCAGAGCCTCATCCAACAGAGCGGGGGCCGACCGTGCTTTGCTGTTGTGGGGTGGAAAACACTCCAAGGAACAGGCAGAGGCAATGACTTCTGATGGGACTGTAACAACTCAGGAAAGAGTAAGAACCGGCCAGTGGAGTTGCATAAGATTAAAATGCTTCTGCACAGCACAGAGGGGGAAATGAGCAGAGCGAGAAGATAACCTTCAGAGTGGGGAAAGTATCCGTGCCACTGATTCCTCTGATTCCTCTGATAAGGAATTCGTACTGAGCATAAATAAAGAGCTGAAAAAACGGACACCTAAAGAACAAATAACCCAATCAATAAAGGGACAAATGAATTGAACAGGCAGCTCTCGTCTCCAGTGGCTAAAGTCACATGATGTGACTTTCACCAGAGCTCTCTCTCTCTGACGTACTCATCCCACACCGCCCAGCGGCGCTTCCTTGGGAAAACCGTCACCAATCACCCTTCCTCCCACCCACGGCCAGGAGCTGTGCTGTGACTCTGTCTCCAGAACATAGCACATGTATTATACTCTAAGTTTTATGTTGTTGTTGTTGTTTTGGTGTTTCCCAGAAATGTAGTTAATACTTCTCTAACTCTCTGTTCGGTATTTCCTTCCCTCTAGGACTGCAAGACAAGAGCAGGCAGCAACGGTGCGACTCTTAGTCCCATTTTATTTCCAGACCCAGCGCATTACACATAATAGGTGCTCAGTAATGCCTCAGGCTCTAATGTTGTATCTGCCAAGCTTCAACAACAGTTTGTTTTAAAGGCATCCATTTAGTCCCATGTAACTAGTATGTGGCCACTTGTTATTAATTCGTATCGGCTAGCTCCTGCTATGGGCCTCTGAGGCCTCACGGCTTTATCAGGCATCATCTGACCGGTTCCTGCTGAGAGTTACAACAGAACCTTCCCTAAAAACCCTGAATCCACTCCCACTGCTAAAAATAAAGGCAAGATACGGGGACTGCTGGATCAGTAAGTCCATATTTTTGTCATATTACTGGATATAATTTTAGCTCTTGAAGAAAATTGAAGAGTTGGGAGGAATAATTATCATTAGCTTGGTTATAATGTTGTCTCTCCTCTCCCAACAATAAAATAAGATTCTGGTAAATATTATGTTCCCAAAACTATTTGGCCAGGATTTTATACACTGTAATATTTAAATACCAATAAGTTACCACCAACGTAAGGAAGACGTGTCTACATAATTCTCAACACCACCAACCAAAGGTTGTCACAAGAAACTTGGCCACTCACACACAGTAACTTGGACTGCAGGGTAGGAAAACAGGGAAAGAACACATAAAAAGTGATGGCTGTTTTCATTCATATTCCTGGAAACTGGGAGTCTGCGTGCACCCTAGGAGAGGGGCCAGGTCACATGTGCGGCTAAGAAAGAAAACACTATTTTTCCCCTCTCATTTCTCACTTTCTCAGAGTTTCTCCCTGTGATTTCAGGCACAGTTACTGGAGATTTAATTGAAAACCGGTAAAGCTCCTCCTGATAGCAGTAATCACCCTCCACATCAACCACTTCGACATGCAGCTCCATGTATGGAAACAAGAAGAAGGCTCGGTGCACATAGATGCTCCAGACCCTTCTAAGAAAAACAACTCGCGGGTGTGTGATTTCCTAGGTTGAACTTTGAAGGATCTGCCATAGTTTCCTGAGAAGTAGATAATAATTTGTCTTTTGTTTTCTTTAAAAAGGGGGGGGGGCTGTAAGAATGCCTTAAAGGGATTCGGAGTTCATAGAAGCATTAGGAAACAGATCACTGTCTGAGCAGATGCTTCACAAGTACACACAGCCCAGAGTCCAGAATTCAAATGGGAGATCTACCCAGAGTGACATGCTTCTGGAGTCAGCTGATGGCTGTCAGAGCACGCAGGGCTTCACTCCGATTCCCTTTCAACAGCTGTCCCGTTCCTAGTCCTGGATGGGAGGATGGATTAATTCACACACCATAGTCACAGGCGGAAGGCAGTCTCCCCAGAATACGGCAGCGCTTCCTCATATGTACACGAATCATACCATTTTGAAGGACAACACCAGATACAATGGAAATTAATTAAGAACCATGATCTATACTTAAATGGCTTCGTTTCATCTTCACAAAATGACTATGTGTTAACTACCCTCACTATTCTAAGGATGAAGGCTGAGAACTGGAGAGCTAAAAATTAAATGGTCGAGCTTGGACTCAACGTCAAGCTCTCTGAATTCCAAGTCCACCATGTTAGCAATGCCGCCAGTATCCCCCTGATGCGACCACAGCCATCCTGGCTTGTAAGAACCGTGGCTACCTCCGAGTAACCCTGAGTGGTTCTCCACCCCTGCATATTTTCCCAGCATACTGCGGACAGACAAAAGCAGGAGAGTGTATGTGATTTAGGACTTGACCTGGAGCCCAGGAATGGGCCTGGCTCTTAGCCTGAGAATAACTACCAAATCCCAGCTTGAAGGAAATCACTTTCATCCTAATCACTCTACAAGACCCCACTGTCTATTTGAAATCACAAGAAGTCACCATAACCATACTGCTGCCAGCCACCAATAAATTCTGCTCTGAGACTGAGTTACTTCAGATGGCACTGTACATCTGCATTTGTCATTTTAGTAAAGACAAAACCTCTGAAACACGGAGCGCGAAGAAGTCAAGCGATTTGGGGATAGTCAAATAATAATCATACGACTTCCTCATATTAATTTTACATAGCCTCCCTAAGAGCTAAATGGTTCCTATCGTCATTTGCCTATTAAACAATAGCTCGTTTACTCAAGGTCAAGGATGCAGTTTATCCTTAAGAACCTGGGTTTTATGGTCCAGCAATGCGAGGGCAGCAGGCATGGGAAGACCACTTGTTTGGGTTCTGTATCCTGCGCAGGCTCGCTGTCACTGCACGGGTATGTATGTTCTTCTCTCCCGAGTCTGCTTCTCTACTTCCAGTTAGCTATGGGAGTGTGCATGGTAGAGAAGTGAGTATTACCGACGCGGCGACCAGAAGAGGAAGCGAGAGCCCTGGGGCCCACGCCGCACAGCGGTGGCCACCGGCGGCGCACGGGGCTCTCACTCCGTGGCCGGCCATCGCAGGCCTCCGCGCGCTCTCCGCCTCGAGGCCTCGTGGACTGTCTCTGTGTGCGCATCCCTCTTTCCATCATGGGTTTCTTTTCCTTTCTTGATGGTTTTGCCTCCTGCTCTTTCGCTCCCTTCCTCCTCTCAGCTCCTCTGAGATTCACAGAAGCTTGAAAAACTCACTCATGGAGACCAACATCCCAACACTTGTACAGCAGAAAACAGTCCCAGGCCGCGAGCGAGCAGCACCAGGGCAGCTGCGGCTCTGTGGAGTCCAGGCTGCTGGCCCCGCGGCCCCACCAGCACCACATGAGCAGCTATGCTGCCAAAGGGGGGAGGATCCGAAGGCCTCGCTACTGAGCAACGCCCACTTGAATACAACTGTATTTTTTACACAGTACTTCGTGTTTTCAGTGAATTAGCCTCACTTAAAAATCATGTGTCCATGGAGCTGGGAAGGTGGCTCAGTGGTAGAGCGCTTGCCTTGCATGCATGAGGCCCTGGGTTCGATTCCTCAGCACCACATAAGCAAAAAGAAAAAAGCCGGAAGTGGCGCTGTGGCTCAAGTGGTAGAGCGCTAGCCTTGAGCTGAAGAGCTGAGGGACAGCGCCCAGGCCCAGAGTTCAGGCCCCACAACCAGACCCAAAAAAAAAAAAAAAATCATGTGTCCAGACATAAAAGCTTAGAAGACAATTTCATGGCTACTCCTTGCAAATGACATACACTTAAAAATAGAAATGTTTAAGAGATCACTTCTTGAATGCGGTTTTCAATCAGGGCTTCTATGGATATGCTGACAGAAAGCTGTTGCTGCCGCGTTGACTTGTTTTGTGTAACATTTTGGCTCCTGCGCGCGTGCGTGCACTCACGCTCCTTCAGAGCCGGGGGCCACGGGGCCAGGAGGCGGCGGCTCACGCCTCTATCCTAGCTACTTGGGCGGCTGGGCCCTGTAATGTCGGTATTCCAAGCCAGCCCAGCCAGAACAGTCTGTAAGACCCATCTCCAAAATAAGCAAAAAGAAGCCAGGCTGGAGGAATGGCTCAAATGGGATAGTGCCATCGGAGCCAGCCCAAGCACAAGGCCATGAATGCAAACCCTGGGACCATTAAAACATCATTACAAGCTCATATAAATGCTAAGCTTGCTGCGTGTGATTTTCATGGAAGATAGAAGAAAAAAGTAGTAGAAATCCTACTACTGCATTCAAATTTCACTCTTCTAAATGTTCCTTTTTTTTTTTTTACATTTTGGCCTGGACAAAATATTAGAATAGTTACACCGTCTATAATTTGTGTCGAAGTAAGCAGAAATAACTGTACCTATCTTCTTCCAGGCATGGAGACCCGCGGGGCAGCCGGAACTCCCCCTCCCACAGAGCCTGCCGCCAGGGAACCCTCTTACCTGGTCTTTTGTCTTCCCTTCACGATCGCGAATGTGGTTAGCCACAATTCTTTCTGTTTCCTCACAAAGTCTGGGGAAGTTTGCCAGCTGTCAAGAAAACAGGTCTGAATGTTAACACAGTCCTTGGAACACTAGACTGTAAACAAAAAAGAAGCAGAGACACATTATGATATGTTACGGAAGATACTCATTACAACTCTACAACAATGGCACAGCAGGTTGAATTCCTGTAACGAACAAGAGGGTGAGGGGACAGACTGCCCAAACCACCATCTGCTGGCAACTCCACCTCAGAACCGGCAGAGCTATGCCCTGGAAGCAGAGCGGGAACCGAGACGCTGTCCAGACCTGCTCTGCAGAGCTGGTACTTGAAATCCCAGGGAGACACAGCTGGAGAAGAGGGTGAGGAGGAGCGACTCGCAGACGGGTACTGCCCAACCCCTTTCAACATTCTTAACAATCCGAAGAAACCCACCTAATTATGTCCTGTCTGGGGAAGAGCGAAGCACCAACAGCGTAGGTAACTGGCCAAGCCCGCATCATAAACAGTGCGCCCATGGCTTCGACTCGGGGCCTGCAGCCTCACACCCTGCGAGCAGGATCCTTCCCATGAACCACAAAGAGACCACCTGAACTTTTAAACAGATTGCAAGGGCACCTATTTTTGTAAAGCTCTAGAAATAATGCATGCCACTTGCGTGCCCACCTAGAGTATGCAGCCAACGGCTCCAAACGCGACTTGCCAAACTGAGTCCATTAATGACAACTGTCTTCAGTCTCCGACAAAGGAGCAGGCCGATGTGAGGGTCGGATCAAAAGGCCCAGTGCAGCGTGTGGAGGGGGCACCTTGCCGAGGATGGAAGCTCGGGGACACGGAGTGGTGGAAGGAGGAAAGTCAGGTCAGTGCCGGCCGGGATGGGGGAGGACGGGCTGACGCCAAGCCGGGGTGTGAACAGAGGAAAGGCCGGTCGGTCCTGCAGGCCTGGCACAAATAAGTTGGTGGAAACTGATCATGACTTTGGCCAGGAAACAATAGAGACCTCCACGGCTTGTTCCAGGCCAACGATTACAACTTACGATAGGAAAGCCATCCCACCCTATGAGAGTAATGCTCATGCCGCAGTGAGCTAGGCAGATAGTGCGGCTTCGTTCACATAGCGTCAATAAACACAAGGAAGACAGGAAAGTGGGAAAGGAATCAAAATAATGGAGCTTGTAGGGAAATTGCTCCAATTATTTTTATAAAATGACAGGTCAAAGAAGACTGAGACTAGTTCAAACTTGTTGAAGGAATGTCAATGAGAACAACCTTTCTAGAAAGCAATTTGACCATCTGTAACGAGAATCTCAGAAGTCCACACATGTGGCACACATGCACATATTTCAACCTAATTACTCTGCAAAATGATCAATGATAGAACATTGATCACAGCAACAATGACTGTAAGGTACCTAAGTATCCAATGATCAATGATAGAGCACTGACCTCAGCAACAATGACTGTAAGGTACCTAAGTACCCAGTGATGTGAAATAAATGAAATAGATCGGCCCACCTATGTCATGCCAAGGGGTCATTTCAAATCACATTTTCAAATATGATCAAATAAGATGGAAACGTGTCCATAATACAATCCAGACAGAAAGAAAAATCAGGCTATTAAAGATGAAACTGAACACAAGCATACATCACACATACTACAGTCTCCTTCGACGCCGTAGCGTAAGACCCTCCCGGGTAGAACTGCAGCCTGACTCCCGCACACTCGCGGGAAGCGAGAAAAACTCCTGGCTGCGAGGCAGCTGCTCGGGTCCCCAGCTCCGCCGGCCCCAGCTTTCCTGCCCAACACTGTGGTTCCCGCCAAGAAGAACTGCTGTTCTTGGTAGAACCATCGAGAGCACCAGATCCCCTTTTCCTAGTGGTGTGGGTGGACGGTCTGTACAAAGAGTTACACAGAACTACACCATGTGGCCCGTGACACCTCCTTCAAGTGTGTGCAATTTTCCTTCTACGTACTTTCCAACATTTCCTACCATGTAACTGGGGTATTTCTAGAACAGAACAACCAAACACAAGATCCCGGGTGCATGCGTGGCGCCCCTGCAGCCAGCTCTGGGCTCTCTCGAACCCTCCAGGCCTCCCTGAGGAGCTCGCGTGCAAGCCGTTTCCACAAACCACGCGTGGTGTGCGTGGAGCCTGCACGGCCGTGTTTGGACACGTCCCACGGCCGAGTCCAGCGCCTCAGAGGCCTGCTGGACACTGAGAACACTCAGAGCAGAGGAGTCCTTCAGAGAGGAGGAGGGTTGGTGGAGGCCGCAGCGCCCGGCTTGCAGCCCAGCGCCACGCTGGCGGCGACCTGGCCGCCCGCTCGAGCCCGGCGTGCGCCCCTCTGCACTCACGCCAGGCTGGGACTCGGGACACGCGGTCAGCGGTCACACGCGCGTGGCGGAGACGAGGGGCGTGCGCAGGGTGGGGGTCTGCGAAGGAGGGAGGGATGCTTCCGGAACGTTCACGGAACACACGACAGCATGGGGTGGTTTTTAAAACCACCAAACGGCGGCAATGTAAATGTTTGTGCAGCTGAGAGCCCCCGGGCCAGCACGCAACCACCATTAAGTCAGGGGAAGGCCAAGATGACGGGTCCCAGCAAACAGTCCATGCCTCCCATCTGCCGTCCTTGGCGAGAGGACCAGGAGAGCGTGTGTGTGAGTGTGTAAGGAGAGTGTGTGCAAGTGTGTGTGAATGTGCGTGTGTATAAGGAGAGTGTTGTGAGTGTGTGAGTGTGTGTGTGAGTGTGTGAGTGCATGTGTGTAAGGAGAGTGTGTGTGTGTGAGTGTGTATGTGGGTGTATGTGAGTGTGAGTGTGCATGTGTGTAAGGAGAGTGTGTGAGTGTGTGAATGTGTGTGAGGGTGTGTCTGTGTGTGTCTGTGTGTGTGTGCGAGTGTGTGTGAATGTGCGTGTGTATAAGGAGAGTGTTGTGAGTGTGTGTGTGTGAGTGTGTGTGAGTGCATGTGTGTAAGGAGAGTGTGTGCATGTGTGAGTGAGTGTGTATGTGGGTGTATGTGAGTGAGTGTGCATGTGTGTAAGGAGAGTGTATGAGTGTGTGTGAGTGTGAATGTGTGTGAGGGTGTGTGTGATTGTGGGGGGGTGAGTATGTGTGAGTGTGTCTGCGTGTGTCTGTGTGTGAGTGTGTGTGTGAGTGTGTGTGTGAGTTGTGTGTGTGTATTTCCACGCTCCTTGGAAGGAAATCCGCCATAGCCCCTCACTAAAGCTAGGATGGAGCTCCCCGCTACTCGGGAGACTGAGAGGTGAGGATCAAGGTCCAGAGCCAACCAAGGCAGGAAATCAATCCCCTGAGACTTCTCTTTCCAATCAATCACTAAAAAGCCAGATGTGGTTGTGTGTCTCAAGTGGAAGAGCACCAGCACCAGCCTTGAGTAGAAAAGCTAAAGGAGACCAAGACCCTGAGTTCAAGCCCTAGTACGAGAGAGAGGGCGGGGAAGGAACGGTACCACGGAAAAGTAGAAAGAAGGCCATTAAAGACACGCAGCAGCATAAACATGGGTGTTACTGAAAGATGGTATCACAATAGGTATCTGCTAGCTGGCTGATCTGGGTTATGAGAACAGAAAACTCAAAAACGTTGGCTTTAATGATGGTTCTCAAATGCGAAGCCCAGTTCTTCCTAGACACGTCCAGGAAGAAGAGAAGACGGTGCCCCTGCAGTTCAGCCTTATTCCTGCTAAAGCCTCAGCACCCCCCTCCCCCCCCCCTCCCATCACCCCCCACCCCCCAGCCCGCTTAGCTCATGCGGGAGCCATGCTGCCCACTGCCCGGTCTCTGTGGCCTTCTGCTTGTTTGCTCAGTTCAACCTCCCATCTCTCTTCTCTGGTCCAAATTTAAGGTTCAATTGACTTTCTTCAATCATTTAAATCTGTAATTCACTTTTATTCTGGGTGTTGAATTAAAAGCCTATGACATTATTTTTGTTATAAATGCTGATTTATGTCAGGACTGGAGTGATTTTACATATGCTGCATTTAAGAAAACATATGCTGTTTTCTTAAGGGAGTTACCCACTGCTTTGAAAACAAGCATGAGAGAAATCCACTTCTCAACAGTATACCTTACTTGGTTGAGGTCTCACTCATAGACATGCTTCAAGTACTAGAAAAACTTTACACATGTGTATCCTGCTTTCTTAACAACAGTTACATAATGCTGGGCGCCGGTGGCCACACCTGTAATCCCAGCTACTCAGGAGGCTGAGATCTGAGGATCATGGCTCAAAGCCAGCCCAGGCAAGAAAGTCCATGAGACTCTTATCTCCAATTAACTACCAGAAGACCGGAAGTGGTGCTGTGGCTCAAGTGGTAGAGTGCTTGCCTTGAGCTAAAGAGCTGAGAGACAGCGCTCAGGCCCAGAGTTCAAGCCCCATGACCAAAAAAAAAAAAAGAAAGAAAATAAAAAGAACAGTTATATAAAACTCTATGACTATAGCAATGTGGTTTGAGAGGAGTTTTTTGCTAAGTTATCAAAATTCTAATCATGACTGCCTAAATAATGTTGATCTAAAAGACACCATCATTTAAACCTCTACTATTTAAATATTTGATGAATTGATTCATATAAGACCAAGGAACTATGGCTTTTCTATTGGTTATAATTTTCTATTTCTTAATTCACATATTAGTCAACTGCCCTCAGCCAGTTCTGTGCTCAGTTCTGCCATTGTACCTGTTCTGTGCTCAGTTCTGCCATTGTACCTGTTCTGTGCTCAGTTCTGCCATTGTACCTGTTCTGTGCTCAGTTCTGTCATTGTACCTGTTATTTAAAACTTTATCATCTTTAGTGGTAGGCTCACAGAAATATTTTTTAGAAAAATACACACACACACACACGTACACACACATACACATATACACACACAAATGGCTTCACCGGCCATCAAAAGACCTCTCACAGGCTCTCATGGTTGAGCTCCTGCTGCCCAGCAAGCATGAATTCAAACCTAATACTTCCAAGAGAAAAGTCCCTTTAGGGTTTAATGCTTGCAGGATAGTGACATTATCAGTCAGAAATGCAC